AGCTTCTGCTTTACCTATTAAACTGTCTTTATCTCAACCCACGTGTTTTCTCACTTTTACCCTTCCGATTCTCTCCCCCATCCCACCAAGGGGGAGTGAGTGAGCGGCGGCGTGGTGCTTAGTTGCCAGCTGGGGTTAAACCACGACACTGTCCAACTCCCTAAACAGAGATTTAAACTGCAAACTAAACTGCTTAGACATTAAGCTAGGTAACAGTTCAAAGTTCTTATAAGCTTCTATACAAGAGCCATATAAATGTCCTGTGCAGCCTGCCAAATACAGGGTAGGCAAAAAGTTTAATTTTTTGCTTCATATTTTACACCAAACATCCAGGACTTCTTTGCTTAGGAAAATGCTGTTGAGACAGCAGAGTTCACAAAGCAGAAGTAAAGTCAAGCGGCTACAGGAAGCCATTATTAAAAACCATAACCGTTTTCACGCATGAAGAGGTCAGTTATGGATTATCTCCACATCTCCAGAAATTGTGACTGCTTAAACACAGTTCCTTGAATATTTACAAAGGAACAACCAGAGCTACGAGCCACTCAGGATGCATAGACTTCAAGCAGCACAGAACCCCAGTACTTCCTGTGAAGTAAACACTGAAGATTAGACAACTGTTTCTCATACCAACAAGGGAAACTTTCAATGTAGATTGTACTTTAAAAAGTGTTAATTTGAATCCCAGCTGCCTCTGCATGTCCTGCAGACATTCTCGGGACTTAAACTTTTACCCAGAGGATTTGTCAGAGACTATCCTGTCCCCAGAACATGTCACCACATCTACTAGTTCCAAAATGGAGAAGTTATACCTACAGCTTCATGAAAAATTCAGTTTCTTACTTCAAATCATGATGCCAGTTAATGCCTTTCCAACACAGTGGCAGGAGCACAGTCAAACCTGTTAAGATTTAGCAGGACTGACAGAGGAGTTCTGAAGTTTCTCACACCATAAATACACACAAATAGCTTTTTCTTCTACAAAATTCATCAAAGAAACCCGTAAGTTTGAAAATGTTCGTCCAGCTTTTGGATTAAGTCATCCATAAAGAGAAGAACCTAGCAAACTTTTATAGGTTTTTTTTAATCTTCATTTCACTGAAAGCCAAGTTGCACAGTAACCTGGAAACATGTGGAAAGCTCAAGAGTGTAATCATTAACAGGCCAATGTCTACTATACCTGAATTTTGGGTCTCAAGCCTTGCCACTTGATTGTCATTTTCAAAGCTTTCTTCACTTTCCAGAGCTGTGATTAGCAAAAACAAAATGTGCACATAAAGAATAATCGAAAGGAATGTCTTATGGAGGATTCAGATACTCAGAATCAAGACCCCAGAATATCTATTTTAAGCACCCATTACATAAAGCAGCAACAGCATGATTGCAAGCGCACTGCCTGCGTCTCTATACAAACCAAATACTATGTCACCAGACAAGTATAACGCTGGCAGCATGCACTATTAAGTCTCCATATCAGATGATGTACTTTAAGTGAAATAACATAGTTCTTCCAGGACATCTGGATTGCAGCGCTTAGGTGGGGGTTAGCTGCTCTCAGCATCAGCATGCCCCCCAGGTCAAGCATTTAGAGAATTCTCCAGTAACCACCTACCAAGCAAGTTTTTACATGCCTTCAAGTTCAGCTGGGATCTGCAAGATGAAGGTGCCTCAGAACTCCTAACAGTAATTAAGTGGGCACTTACATGGTCATTACACTTCAGTAGTGGGCTACAAGCAAACGTCAGTGAATCCACTGAACTGTTTGGCTACTTACTGTACAGCTGCAACAGGTTGACCCTAACGTAACCAAAGGTTCAGTGCACCTGAAAATTTACTCATGTACCCACCCTGCTATACAGATTCAACAGCTTAGGCAATGCAGTAAGCTCAGCTGGAGAGCTATGCTCCATGAAGCTTTTTGTAGACAAGGTTGGTTTGTTTAACTTTAGATACACCAATATGCTCTTCTCACCCATCATATCTTCCAAACAAAAAAGTGCAATACGGTAAAGACGATCCTTTACTGTCATCTTTGATGCAAGCGAGCAAATTACTTATTACAGAACCAATGTCACTATTAGTACTGCATGAGAAACAGGTGTTAAGAACAAGTTGTGAAAAAGCTCTTCCCAGCAGACAAATTCCTTTGAGATGTATAGCCCTTATGTTCATTCTCACCTTGAGACAACCATGTTATCTCACCATCACTTGAGAGGAGAGACACGTTACTTCAACAGAACCTACAGAACGTTTCCCCTCCATTTAAGTGTCCCACAGAGTGTTCCTATAGAATCCTTTCAACCCAGTTCCCCCAGCCTGCAATCCAAAAGCAACATACTGGAAAATAAGGCACGTGAGAAAGATGATAGGAGCCAGTCAGTCATATGGACTACAGATCTGAGAGAGATGCATTTAACAGATCTTTGAGAAGCTCCAAGAAGAATCTGAGACAGGCACAACAACCAAATGAGATCTGGATCTGCCTGTTCTTAGGTAGCGGCAACAGAGAAATCCATCTTCATCACAGAAGAGAAATGCAAAATCTTAATAGTTTTAATTGAACTTAAATCCTGTAGCATAGCTGATCATTCCTGTTACCCTACCATACATGCCTGATCTGGTTTCCACTAAAAGTTCTTAAAAAAAAAAAAGTGATTTAGAGACCAGGGCTATTTCTTCTTCCCCACTAGAAACAAACAAAAGCATAATTTTTCTTGACCTGATACATTTTTAAATCATTTGTCACTTTTGAATTTCTGAAGTCTTTAGATTCAGGGATTTTCTTAAATTTAGTTATTTAGATATAGGATCAAAATAAAAGATATTCTACAAAAGGAGCAGCATATTTATAGGGATATATATTTATCCCTGAAACTGTTAAAATTTCAGACAGCTAAAGAAAATTTGAAATGTAAGACTAAATTTCTATTTACAGGAACAAAACCACCGGCAAATCTGATACAGAAAACTTAACACAGAAATATATCAGACTTAAAAATCTGAACTTACTGAAAAATAACGTTACAGTCAATGAAATGGTACTATTTAGGACACCACTGTTCATAGTTTTCACAAGACTTTAATCTGTCTTATACAATAAACTGAAATTTAAGGATTGCTTTGTGACTTTGCATTCAACAATTTAATCACTAACTAAAAATTCTGAACTGTTTTGTTCCCACAAGGATTATCTGCAACTATAACAGATGTGTAGTCAAAAATTTCACGAGAGTCCTGAATTTATTTTTAAATACTGAGAAGTAATTAGATCTGCAAGCAATACTAGGCAGAGAGATCTCCCCTTCCCATTACTGTTGACTTTGAGCTTTACTACACATAAAGCAGGCTTTTAAGCAGTACTTGCAACCCACTGACTGGACATGATCTCCTGGAATAACGAACACAGCCAGCACTCTCCTCCTTCCCCAAGCACCTCAGTCATGGCCAGGGAGAAAGCTGCAGACCTGAGGCACTGTCTGATGGCCCACAGCCTGCTCTTTGACAAATGTTTCTGTGAAGGCTTGTGACATGGTCATACATGCCTGGTCAGGAGTGATGCCTATCAGATGATGTGATAGGAAGGAACCTCAGCATAGCTCTATGTTTGGTTTCCACAATACCAGCTGGCCCGTCCCAGAAAAACCTGATACTTCCAGTTCAGTTATTTGATAAAAGGACACAATCTCCTCTACCACTGAAAGCCAGTTAAACAATGCTGCTAAGACAGCATACTACAACAGCAGTATTTTTCCAGTAACTAGTTTAGCATTCTTTTTCTACAATAAACTACGCATGTTGCTACAAATACTGGTATTTGGTTCTAGAGCTTTAAGAACTCACCTCAATCACTGCACCAATGCCTGCTGGGATCAGTACCAATAAACTTGTTTGTTCATCCAAAAGGAAAAGAAATATTACCACAGTACTAAAGCACCGCCAAAGCACTAGATAGAAAAAACAAAAACAAAAGGCTTATTAATATTTAAATGAACAGCTGAGATGACAGAAGACTGTTGGCCTATTTACTAGAATTCTGCCTTACGCAGTTTAAGCACGAACTTCTCTTATATACATCTTGATATATCAAGTAGTCCTAGCAACAGCCAGTGATCTGTATGCCTCCAGGCAAATAAGGAATAAAAACATTTTATGAAATCCTTATCACAAAAGATGAAAGGAAATCAGAATATTTAAGGAAGACTTCTGTACTGCAGCAACTGAGCAATGTATCAGTACTATTATGATCTATGTTCATTATTCATGTCTTGAGGAAGCTGAAAGGCTGTGGGGTAATGTAATGTCAATCTTTGAAACTCATGCAACTAATTTAATGTTTGTAAATGTTAAGAAGCGTATTTTAGGGTTATTTTTCAGGTTTTGCAAAACCTTGGGTGCTTGTGTCTACCAACTAATTCTTAGATTCAAATATCCATCCCCCTAAGCAGGAACAGAAAGAGAGAAGAGCTACAACACACTCAGACATCAACAATTACACTGTACCATTCCAGAGCAATTGCCTGCCGCACTCCTCCGTCAGGGCAAGGAGGAAATACAGGAAGAAAGGTGACTAAGGCTTGCTAAAAAGAGGATGGAACCATCAATTACTGGAGACTGAAGATTGATACTTAAATAGTGAAGTTAGAAAACCCTTTGTCACTCAGTCTTTCCAATTTGACTTTACTTATTTTTTGAACTGGCAATCAACACTTAATTCTGAAATTCCGTGGACCATTTTGAATTTTTACTAACTTTTTGGCATATATATGCCAACAGCAGTATAAATGCCTTACAAAAACAAAGGCACTCCGATAAAGATGATAAACAGATTTTCCACATGAAAAAAACATGTCGCTGTCTATCGTACTTTAGATTGCCTAATTTTTTCCTGGTATGGATATTCCTCACGTTTTAATCAATCTGTATACATGATAGAATTAGGGATAGTCTCAGAGGTCAAGCGACTCCAGGTTTACCATTGTGGTTTATAATCAGAATGGAAAAATCTATTAGAAAAAACAAGCAGTAAGTATTAGCACAATAAACAAGGCTGGGGAGTGGTGTGTTAAACCTCAAGTGTCCAGGGCTGGCTACTACCTTCATCTGTCTCCAGGAAGGCTTAGCAGGATGTCAGACCACTATGTTTCTCTCATCTTTCCTACATCCAAGTCAACTCAGCCCTCCCATGCCCTTCCTGCCCCGCCGCCCCCAGGAGCTTCTACTGCTCCTGTTTACACCAATGCCCAAATCAAACAGCAGCATTACACTAGTGTTTTCCCTCCCAAATATTTTGGAATCTGGAGTTATCTACAAGGAACACATGGGACTCGCAGGACAGCATTACCCATGATAGCACATTCTTTCCACCCATGGGATTTTTTCTGTTCCTTCAGCAAAGGAAATCTGGTGACTGACTTAGTATTAAACTTATTCTCAATTGTAAGACAGTCAAACCTCAAAAGTGACATGAGTGCTTAAAAGCAAGCGATACTTGAGCACAATGCTAACAAAGTTAGAACCAGCCTGTTAGCCATCTTCTTTTCATACACAAACACATCTCATTTTGCCATCTTAGTGAATCTACAAAATTTCAACTTAGAGTAAGACTAAAAACACACAGTATACATTAGATAACACATGCACAACACTTCGCATTCTGGCCCATACCTGCTTTTGTAGACATCCCAATCATGGTCCTCTTTTTCTTCCAAAAACTGATGTCATTTTTGAATGCAAGGAAATCAAAGAGAAGCTGCAAATATCAAGAAACACACTCATTTGTTCAAACGTGCACTAGTTAAAGACTACCAGCTGAACTGTTGAAAATGCATTTAAGATAGAATTGCAAGAAAAACCTGTTTTAGAAGCCTCAGAAATAAAAATTAAATACCACAAATAAAAGCTAAAAAGAAAAACTGTTTTAGAAGCCTAAGCTCCAAATGCAGTGCACAATGACACAAAGAATTCCAGGTACTGCTACAATGCTGCATCAGTTAAAGAAAGTTAGTGACCCAATACAGGGTAACACATGATAGAGGATGAAGAACTGAGGACCCTGAGGAATTGCTCACCTCCTTGACAGACCAGGGAAAGCCACGCTAAATTAGATTCAAAGTGCTTTGTAGTGGATCGATAGTCAATTTAGGCTTGGATAGTACCAAAGTTTTTTAAAAATTCCTAAAATACAGCAAGTCATTTTCTCCTCTCTATTTCATCACCAATAAGTTGATCTGAACTTCAAGGACATTTTAGCATTAGATTTATTTGTACCGAGTATTTTTTCCAGAATTTTTGTTCAGAATAGAATAGTATAGTTCAGTTGGAAGGGACCTACAACGATCATCTAGTCCAACTGCCTGGCCAATTCAGGGCTGACCAACAGTTATAGCACGTTGTTAAGGGCATTGTCCAAATGCCTCTTAAACACCGACAGGCTTGGGGCATCGACCACCTCTCTAGGAAGCCTGTTCCAGTGTTTGACAACTCTCTCAGTAAAGAAATGCTTTCTAATGTCCTGTCTAAACCTCCCCTGGCGCAGATTTGAACCGCTCCCACGCGTCCTGTCGCTGGATCCCAGGGAGAAGAGATGAGCACCTCCCTCTCCACTTCCCCTCCTCAGGCAGCTGTGGAGAGCAATGAGGTCGCCCCTCAGCCTCCTTTTCTCCAAACTAGACAAGCCCAAACTCCTTAGCCGCTCCTCACAGGACATGCCTTCCAGCCCTTTCACCAGCTTTGTTGCCCTCCTCTGAACGCATTAAAGTACCTTCACATCCTTCTTAAATTGTGGGGCCCAGAACTGCACAGAGCACTCAAGGTGAGGCCACACCAATGCTGAATACAGCGGGATGATCACCTCTTTTGACTGGCTGGGTATGCTGTGTTTGATGCACCCCAGGATGCCGTTTGCCCTTTTGGCCGCCAGGATATTTTTTAGTATCTCCTTTAAGCATTCACTGTCTTAAAAAAAAGCAGCACAGATTCAAGAAATTCTTGGGTCAGAGAATTTTAATGAAAAAGTGTATTTTTTTAATTTGGGTAAATGATACACAAAAGAAAAAAATATCAGAAGATCTAGTCCCAGCCTACAGATATCTTACAATCTAATAAACAGAATGGAAAAAAATAAATTAAAATGGCTGGAAGTGTAAGGGTTTCCAACCAAATTAATTGTATGTAATGTAAGTATAAAGAAACATAACACGCTCAGCAAGTTCTTATCTACCCCAGAATATGGGAATTGTACTGAGCGTAATTGTAGATGACAAAAATGGTCCGAGTAGAACAATGAAGTCTAAAAAACTTGTTCATTAAAACAAAGACACACATAACGCTGACAGAGAGACGCAACAACAAATGCCTAGAGCCACAAGCTCTGCACTTTACAGCGACCATTTTTTTGAAGTAATCTAGAGCAGCTGATCTAAATTTCTCCAGGGGTTAGAAGTCAGAGACTCAAACCCTACTGTGGTGCCTGAGCTATGCCACTGCAGCAGTAAACTTTGTGATAACTCAGCTTAGCAGAAAATGTGAACCAATGTTGACAGGTATATTAATTCTGGGTGCTTTGGTTCAGCTAAAAAAAAAAAAGGTGATGATAATGAAGTTAAATGTTTTATATTTCAGTCAAGACTGTTTAGTTTACACCTAGTTATCTCATATTTCTATCTTGAGATTTTTATATTAACGTGGTATTGGAAATACAGCTGATTTGTACAGCTGAAACCTCTTCTATTGCTCTACTGAAATTACTATTTCCAAGAACAGTTCTCAATAAATGAAAGAGTTGAAGTTCAACCCACCCTCCAGCCCTTTTAATTTCATATGCTGTAATTCCTAAAACCCAAAGTTTCTCCACTTACATGAAATGCTGCTACGAAGAATGTCAAAGCCAGAAAGTACAGGTTAGTATCAACAAAAATTCCTTTTACTTCATCTGCATCCTTTTCTGAAAACCCTAAGAGAAAGAACAAGTAATTATGCAAGAAGTACTAGACAGTTAATTGATGTTACACTAGAGTTCAGTATGAACGGAATCTTATTTCACCTGCACATGTTTTATCAAGGAATCATAAATCCAAAACAAGATGGCAGCTTCATTGGTAAAACCCAAGTCTACCTATATTTTGGCTAGTTATTTGGCTTGCCGTAAACAAAACCCATCAGTTACAAGCAGACTGACATGCCTTTAATGTGTTGTATAACTACAACCCAGGCTGAACACCAGAGACACAAATGGCAAGACACAGGAAGTCACTCTGGCCTGAGTGGGAAGAAAAAGGACTATTCAACTTGGCCTCTGAGCTTTTATTTGATACATAAGAAAAGTGAGCTTCACATTAAAAACCAAAAAATGAGAGAAGGACTACACTGTGGAGGACAACAAAGGTCAGTGGGAAACACGGCCATATATGCAACAGTATAGACCCCAGATCATGGATTAGGCATCAATTCTTTTCACAGTCCTTACAGAATTAACTTGGAAGCCTCTCTTAGATAAATAGAAAAAGGCAAAGCATCTTCCAGAAATCACAATCTGTAAGCTAAATACATATTCTCTACTGTCTTATCAATTCTCCTAAAGGAGGAATGTTGCTTTCTTGTTATATACTGGACAACCATTAATTCAAAAAAAGTTAGAGCCTGTCCGTGATAAATATGGTTGCCAGCACGAAGGAGTGTGTTTTCTAGAAGATACAGCATCCCTTTGAACTCCTTCAGCCAGTGTTAAGATGCTTTCTTCATGAAGTAGAAAGTTCCAGCCACTGTGATTGAAGTCTACCCTTCTCAGAAAATACACAATGTTGCATTTACGGCAATGGTGTTAGTTATGACACTAGTGAGTTCAGTACCAATTTACTTTGTCCTATCAGCTGTCCTTCATCACAGCAAGAAGAACTCACCTATTTTCAAGTGATTTTGGAGTTCTGCTACTGATGACCTTTTCGTAAGTTATTCCAAAAGGAAAATTTTAAACCTTAACGTTTCACTATCTGCATACTTAAAGAGAACAAGCAGCATTTTAGGTAAGCTTTTTTTCCACGCAGAGGATGTACTCCGAGGATGACAGGTCTTGATATATGTGTCCATCACAAGACAGCCAAGACACGGAACATGAAAATTTCAATTACGCCATTCTAAGGAGGCTTACAAGAATTTATGGAGAAATGATGGTGGTCAAATGCCCCACGCAAACTGTGCAAGCAGTTACTTGATTCTTTCAAGACAGTTATTTTAAGCAGACATACTTGTAGCTTCGATATACATTAGCCTGAGCTAAGGAGAAGCTGCTGGATTCTACTTCAGATGACCTTACTCCTTACCCACCCTCCCTACCCCAACAAAACATGAGAAAAGCTTAGGCTGCAAAAGAAATGGAGAAAGTCTAGACTCTCAGTTAAGTTACACTGTATAAAGATACTGTGTCTTACAATACTGCACTCTGAAACATATCCTGGGCTGCATCAAAAGAAGCGTGGCCAGCAGGGCGAGGGAGGTGATTCTGCCCCTCTACTCTGCTCTGGTGAGACCCCACCTGGAGCACTGCGTCCAGCTCTGGAGCCCTCAGCATAAGAAAGACACGGACCTGTTGGAGCGGGCCCAGAGGAGGGTCACAAAAATGCTCAGGGGGATGGAACACCTCTCCTATGAAGAAAGGCTGAGAGAGTTGAGGTTGTTCAGCCTAGAGAAGAGAAGGCTTCGGGGAGACCTTATTGCAGCCTATCAGTACTTAAAGGGGGCTTATAAAAAAAGATGGAAAAAAAGAGGTGGTGGATGCCCCATCCCTGGAAACATTCCAGGTCAGGTTGGACGGGGCTCTGAGCAACCTGATCTAGTTGAAGATGTCCCTGCCCACGGCAGGGGGGTTGGACTAGATGACCTTTAGAGGTCCCTTCCAACCCAAACTATTCTATGATTCTAAACTAGTGCTGAACCAGAACGGATTTTTTTTTCCAGAGGAATCAACGCCTTAAATGTTAAGTTGTCCATCATAAAATAGTAATTCAGAGATGACAGTAAATAACTAAACCCTTTCCCTCTTACTGACTAAATTTTGGTGAACAAAGAACAACACTGAGTAGTATGGAAGCAGCATTACCCCTACATATGTCTCTTGGGAAACTAGTAGAATACTGCATATATCTGCATTAAAAAAAAAAAAAAACTGGGAAGGATTTAAGAATCATTAAAATAATACAGCACAGAAGCTTTTAAGATCTCTTGGCCTGAAAAAAAGTTCAAATTGCTGTCTGAAGAGCTTAAAACGAGAGGATCAGAAAAAATCCTACATGCATATACCTCAATACCAGTTCAGTAGTTCCTTACTCTAGCATAAAAAAGCCAACTACAGTCTTGTGAGAGAAAACTAAGTCAGCAAAGATAACCCTGAAAATAAGATGCGGATTTTTAAGAGTGATGATTAGACTCAAAAAGGTGTGCATCAGCGGGACAAACATTTAAAGAGAGTAAAAGCTTGGCTATACCATCACCAACACAGAGCATATGAACTTCAGAGTGAAAGTGTACACTTACTCCATTACATTTAAGTGAAACAGACAATTTAATAGTTTCATGCATGTAAAGCCTCCAGTTTATCTGAATTACCTTATAAATTTGTAACTGAGCCAAAGTGAGAGGCCAGCCAGTTCTGAAGCGTCAGAAGCAAGTATGATCAGAACCCAGATTCCTCCTTCATGCTCAGCTTCAGCCCAAAGACTTTACTGTACCTGCCTGTATTTCACTGTAGGTATATAGCTACAGTGACCAGCTATATATAGCTTATATCAAAGCTTATGTAACACCAATCCAGCTTTTCTGTTCCATGGATGACAGGGGAAACCTGTGGCGAAAATTCTCTCCTCTATTTTGGCCTCTTACACTTTTACAGTAGTCCTATACAAATAAAAATTACTTTAAAAATGGTTAATTCACCTCTGTATTCTTGTTTCCTGCCATGTCAGCATTTTCTTTCCACCTTTACCTTAAGACCTTAAGGTAAAACAATGTAAGATTTGTAGCATTAATTCAGAAATTATTTAAAGATTAAATCTTTTCACCAGCTAACCAGAAAAAAAGAGAGAGTTAAGTGTCATCTATGTACCTACAAGAAAAAAAATTTATGGGTTGTTGGGTTTTTTGGCCTAAAGTCATTAAAGATAAAAAACATACCAAATTGTTGGAGGGAGTACACAGCATCCTGCATGTGGATCCAAAACCGGAGTTTTCCAAGAGATATTTTGTCATATGACACTGTAAGAGGTAGCTCTGTTGTTGAACGATTTATAACCTGTATTTCAAAAAGATATAGTTTCATTTTTAATAGAAAAATTGCAACAATTATTTCCATTCATTTTTTTTTAAAATAAAGGAAAGTGATTATATCACACTGATTTAATCACACAATTTTAAGAGGTCAGTTTGTTTTTTGAAAGGGAATAAGATCTTAGACTTCTATACTATGCTTTAAGTCTTTAGGTTTTTTCCCAAGAAATGCTAAATTGGCAGTTTGTTCTGTTCAAGTTCTTATAGCAACCTCACTGTTACTGTACACAAACTCCTTTGAGACATTTACATAGTTCCCTCTGCTGGTCTCAGCTCAAGTGGGAAAAGTGTGCTTAAGGTAATTCTTTTTTCTGACAGTTCTTCTCTGAATGTATATCCTAAGATTACCTAAACTAGAAGGTAAAAAAAACAAGAAAAAAAATCATATCCCAAAGGCCACAGTCAGAACTTTACTAAAGTGAGGCTGTCTTTGAGAGAAATTAAAGCTACAACAACTCATACCAAAACAAAAGGTGGGGAAGCAAGATGATCCTACTTGCTTGGACTGGTGAAAACACCACAGCTAAAGCTAAGCAAGCTACCCTGCCTGCAAAACTTGGGATATGGCGTGTCACAGAAATCTTCTTCCTGCTCCAAGAGAAATAAATTTCAGCTAATCCTCCTGTATCGTCTACACTTTAGTTATGATGAGAACTACCTGGGGCCCCCTTAAGCTGGAAACAAACAAACAAAAAGTCTTAAATTGCCTCAGCTCCTTCTGCATGATAGGTGACTGTCTCTCAAGTAAGTTTAAAATGAAGGAAAAAAAAAATAGTCCTCACAGATGTTAGAATTCTCCGCAGCTACCTAGGTACAAGTTCAGGCAGTATGTTTTAAACTTTTAAGGATAGCTCAAGACTACAGACAGGCAGGCACTCTGAATTGCAACAGTTCAAGATCTATTGCTCCTGGCTCCTAATTACTACCCAATTATAATTCCCATCTCAGAACTGCTACTCTACACTGTATCTGTTTCTACAGTAGTCAGTTAGCTGACACCTATCTGAGATGAATAGGCTTCTTCTGATCCTTATGTTACAGAACATGGTTTTAGCCTCCCCACGTATCAGTCAGGTGTGACCTGGGGATTACGTTCACTCTCCCATTCATTCTTTCCTCCAGTGAGTACAGACAATTTTCAATCTCACCACCCTCCCAAGACCCTATAAGCTTTTCAGACAGTGGCAGAACATGCCCGCGTGCAAGGGAAAGAAAGGGAAGCTGAGACAGTTTTATAAATACAGCAGGGAGAAAGCCTGAGAAACTAGAATGGTGCCAGGAATCTCTGAAATGTCTGGGGAAGAAAACCAACAACAAAACAGGGTGAAAACAATGTGGTTAGAGCTGACGGTAGAGAATGCTACCAAGATTCTACAGCTGTTTACCAAAAGCTACATAAACATCTTCCAGGCTTCTTCTCCTTTTTAAAGGATGCCTGTAATCCCTCCATTCTCATTCCAATTTCTCAGTCAATCAGAGATAGCATCAACATTTCTGGGAGAAAAGGAAAAGAAATTTTATCTGTGCAGGACAGACAGAAAACAAAAATTTTGCAAATGCATGGGTAACATGCAGCAAGTGCACTCTTCACAGCCAAAGCACTACTAAGGAGTTAGGGACAGTGTAGGGAGAAAATCGGATTGCAGTACAACACAGAGATAGGAATTCTTCAACACCAAAAACAAATTCAGTGAACATACAAAGATTAAAAGAATGAACTCTTTCTCAATGAACAACTAAAAGTCCACAAGTGCTGCCTCACAACCTAGCTGAGTGTGATGGTTGCTAAGCCTTTGAAAACTAGGAAGTTACCAAACCTCTGCAATACAACCTACTCTTGTAGTACGGCCTGAGCATCACATATTACTTCTAGCACTCTACTTTACCAGTACTACAAAACAGTGTGTAAACAAAGCAAATAAGTTCAGCGGTATGAATTTTAAAGTTTTCTCTTTATTAAATCAGAATCCTGTGCAAGCCCAAACCCCCAGCATTAGCAAGAACATTTAAGAGCATGAGGAACACATAATCTCTAGACTACAGTACTTACCATAGGAGACCTACATCTGGGTCAAAATAGTAGTCAGTTCAAAAGCTACACAGCCTAGCACAAGCAGGGAAAATGCATCTTCAGCTCCATGACTTCAGGTCGGGCATACCAAACAGACAGTGTCTATGCCCCTATTTACAGTCAAATGCCGACCTTGCTCCACAAAAGCTGTATCACCTTCTTCCCTTATCCTTTCCTGCTCTTCACTCACCCCTCATTATCTCACAGTATGCATACTATTAGACCACTCTTTCTGCAGGGCTTGCAAGCGGTTTGGCAAGTCACTACTGAGAAGTCACATAAGTCAGTGCTGAAGGGGAAGTTTGCTAGTTTTGATGGAATAGTCTTTGCAGCACTTCTCAGTATCTTTAATGACTTTAAGGTAGTAAGTTACAATAGCATTAACCGTGACATGCATGACAACTGCAGGAATGTTATTAATAACATGAGAATGCTGAGTTTATTTGTAAACAGGGTAGATGACTTGACCAGTTAGAAGCTCATATGAATGTACTGAACTGAATGAGCTGTGTAAGAAACTTAAAACAAAGGACAATGACCACTGATAAAGACATCACAAAAGTATACTGGAAAATACACCAGAAATACTGGACAAAACTATCTGCTACCAAGATTCGTAACAGATGCTCAGGAGTTTATTTTGCCAAACAAGCTTGGGGTGGAGGGGATACAAGTTCTTAAAGAAGGTTCTCCCCAACACTAAATAACAAAATGCTTTGTCTGAGCTAAAGTTAATGAATCAGAAAGACAATTTAGAAGGTCAATGGAAAGTTTACATATACCAAGACTTCCATCTAGAAGATGCTGATTCCAGACATGCTCATTTAACAGTTTTGAGACACTCCCCAAGACTTGTGGTCTCAGTAACTCTGATTGCTAAATTCCAGTCAGTGCAACTGAAAAGAACTGCAGGGCTTAACTAAGAGCTGCAAAGATGAATGCGGTTTAGATGCAGGGGACTGCCATGTGTAACTTGTAGTAAAGGAACTGCATGATTTCCCACACGAGAAGAGTTGGGCAAAAACTGAATACAGAAAATTCTATTTATATGTATAAAAAAACCTTTTTTTTTTTTAAATTGCAGGGGTGACTGAACACTAAAACAGGTTGCCCAGAGAGGCCCTGGCATCTCCATCCTTGGATATATTCAAAACCCAACTGGAGAAGGTCCTGAGCAACCCGTTCTAGGTGACACTACTCTGAGCAGGGGCATTGGACTGGCAATCTCCAGAAATCTTGTCCAACCTCATCCTTCTGTAATTCCATTATTGAAGTTTCTAAGTCCTGATTTGTTTGAGTGCACAAAATCATTGGATGTACTGCAACACCAAGCTTTCAGGTGCTCAAGTTACTCTAACACGATAGAGAGCACCACCAGAAAATTTAACCACAAGTGAATTTTTTTAGAGATAAGAGAATAGCTACTGACTTATCTCAGTGTAGCTCCAGTATCAGCTGTGTTCAGTATGCTCATTTCCCTAGAAGATATCAGAAGCCAATCTGGGATGCTAACACAACTTCTTCAGCTTAGGGAGTCAAATTGCTTATGAGACTGCTCCCACCACAGCTGGTGCTGCAGCAATGTCCTCCATATCCATCCAGAAGCAATGTAATCCAAATATCTTTTGGTGTAATAGAAGGGAATGCTTGGCAGATACTTCTGCCAGAGGGGAGTCTCAAAACCCAGATCCAGTCTCTGCAGTTACCACAATTGACCACATAAAGTTAAACAGTCATTGGTAGAGTCCTTTTGTGAATTTATACTTTTTCATTACAGCAAACAACCTATGACAAAATTTTAATTAAAACAACATTGAAGATTACTGTTAAAACTGTTAAATGTAATTAAAGGTATTCTATTACTCACCATCAAATCTTTCACTCTGTTGCTTAGCTGATCAATAAATAATATTGGAAGGTAATGCACTGTCTTCCCCAACTGAACCCTAGGATGTTTAAACATGGATTTTATGACTGTGGTGATCTAAAAAGAAAACTACTTTTATTCAAATTAGCACTCATTCATCACTTTCAGATCTACCCATGTAGATATTTCCCACCATCTTTTCAGGCACATTTTGTTTTAACGCAGCAAGAAAGGAGCCACTAGCCTAGTCTTTCATTGAGAGATGTCTGTATAAAAAATTAGGCATGTCATATTTCTCCTTTTAGTTTGTTTTTACCTTTCTGTAGGAAGACAGAATAAGCAAACAAAAAAAAAAAAGGACAAATGAAATTGGTTGTGATGATGCTGAAGCTGTTGCATGACCAAAGGTAGAGGAAATCAACAAGTTTGTTGAAGAGAAACGTGCTGAAGTTTACTACCATATATTTGTATCCTTTGTCTCAAGTATCCCTCTCCTACTACAACAATGACCACTCTCCACCATCTCCCACACTCCTCTGCACCTCCAATGACATCTATCAGGTCAGCAACAGCACATGCTCTAGCTAGCATGGGACTATGAACATGATGGCTGGTACGCACACAGGAAGGCTAGATACTACTGGAGAGAGTGCACAAGGAGCAGAAATCTTCTCTGCCTTCTCCTGAACAAAAGCCCTCGTTTGGATTGCTCTACTACCTCACCAGCCTGCATCAAACCAATAGAAACTTCCCAGCCTTTGAGCCCTCTACAAAACTGACCGCTGGAAAGTTACTTAGCAAATTATGACCTATATGCAATTGCTTTGTCACTATCTTAGAAAAGTATTTAGCCTAATGCCCTAAGAGAGACAAATTCTTAAAGTTCTTCACTAGAAAGTCAGTTGTCTACACTGTGATGTTCTCGGTAAAAGTCTATGGAACTAGCATAACAGAGATTTTTAAAGCCTGGAAGTTGAATTTTAGTTGTTGACAAAAGAAAGAAGTCTCTATGCACGCAAAGAAAGACTGCATACTAAATATAAAATGGGCAACAGTAATATAGAAAAGTACTAAATTGAGGCTCAGAAATACTGGTTGGGTTGGTTATTTAACTAAAGAGGTTTAGATTTCTATATAATGACTACAATTAAAGCTACTGCTAGTGGAATTGCAGCAGGCTATTTCACATCCAAACTATTTCCTGTACAATGCAATGACAAAACAGCACTGATGCCTATCTAAACATGACCAGAAAAAATATCCTCGTTCATCAATCCCAGTCCAACCCCTTCTTGTTATGGGCCTATCTTATGAGTTACTAAGTTTATCTATTCTGGCTGGGAAGCTATCCCAGAACCCCAGGGTCTGCTGATTAAGCAACTACTTCTGGATTTAACAGGATACTTGTAGAGAAAGGCATCAACATACAGCAGCACAAGCCAGTACGGCACTATTTATATGGTTAACACTGGAAGTAATTTAAGCAAGCTGTGAACAGAAGCTAGTGCCTACATTTAGTGGCCTAAAAACCTATCCCTGCTTTTCAGTATTTTCTTGAGAAAATGACAATGTAGGAACACACATTGTCAAAGTACAATAAAGCCAACCACAAAGGGAGAAAAAAGATGTCATAGGAGATCAGCTGTGCCTCTTCAGCACTTGCAGTTTGTACAGATAATTTGCAGATGAAGGATAACTGGAAAGGTCAAGGGACAGTAATTGCTTTAAAGGCCAGAAGTATGATTTGAGAACAAGGGGGTATGAAGTCTGCTGTAGCATTTTTCTTGTGCCTTTGTAGTTCCGCTTTGTCTTACTATGATAACTCCATACAAAAAAGTATTCTAAACTCTGAGCTGCCCAGGAACAAGGTATCTCCAATAAGGTTGTCTAGTACATAATATCTTACTAATTTTCACTACCAAAATGCAAGTATTAAGAGTATCTATTCCTGTCTCCTAAACACCAATTTAAACATAAAATACTAAAGGAGGCCAGGGAGGATTTTTGAAGAAACATACAGTAAGTTTATAATAACAAATCTAGCAAAATTAAGTCATCGACTTACATCTTCATGTAACGGTGAACATCAGCAGGGAGGGATGATCCATCAAACACAAAATCATCCACCATGACATTTAAGGTTAATCTTGACCTCCAGTGAGAGACAGGTTCATCTAGAGCATTGGTCTGTTTTTCTGCTTCAATTTGCTTTAAAAATACAATAAACATATATACTGCTAAACTATACAGAACTTTGAATAGGTTAGTACTCTAACTCACAGAAACTATGGAGTCATTAACTATATCACAAAACAGAAGCCCACCAAGAAACGCTTTACCTTAATTTTGACCAGATCAAGTATTTTGCTCAAATACGACAGAACGGATTGCAAAGACCCACCATAATCTGACACTGAAAAACTTCAGTGCCCATTCACAGCCTTGTTCATCAAGAATGAATATTCAACTAATTAATCTTAATACCGTAGGAATGTGGATACTAGTCAGAAAAAGTCACTTTGAAATAAGAACTGTAGAGTAATCATATGTTACTTCAAAACGGTCAAAAGGATGTAGATATCAACCATATTAGTTTTTGGGAGTAAAAAGATCAGACCATTTGTTTTGAACTTCTGAGCTTCCAAATGCTGTGTAAAGCAGTGCTGAAACCAAGTACAACCTTAGCTTTCAGCAGATGCTTATCCCCAGGGCATTCTACTTGCTTTTCTTTGGATGAACACCACCTGTTCTGACTTTCAGTATTGGACTCTAGCCTCAACTTATTTTCAAGTTTATTCTGACAGTATTTAGAAACAGCACCGCTGGCTACAGGTATATTTCAGATCCCAAAGAATAACAGAGTGAAATTCTCAAGCTCCACTTCATATGAGGCACAACAGCCATTCACAAGTATTTCATTAAATAACACTACATTTTTTTCCCCCTGGTGAGTAGTCATAGCATTTGTCAAAGGATGCTACCTTATTCTCTTGAACTGAAGTGGAAAGTAAGAACATCCTAAAGGAAAAGAAGCAATTTGACATCGGTCACTCACCAACGTCAAAATCAAGTTTGTATCTCTGTTTTATAAAAGCAAAGCGTATTATTTCACATGAATCCAATTCACTATAGAAAGCAGCATCATGCTGTTACAGAACAATACAGTATTTCTACCAAAAGCAATGAATCCCTAAAGAAGCAATTAATGTTAACTAGGGAAGTGCTTTAATAGCAGCCGGTGTTATAGAGGGCTCTACCTTTGCTGTGCTGAGTGATCTACTATTAGCGTACAAGCTGATAAGAAGAGGGGTTTTGATTTTTTTTTCCCCCTAATATCATCATTAGTGTAAAAATGCAAGTACAGCAGATGCTAACGCTAGAAGTGTCTATAAAAGAAATTACTTTTTTTTGCAGTTGTTCATCTATAGATGGAAAAACCACCTACCTGTGTGGCTGATTCTCCAGTGAGCAAATTGACCTCTTCTGGTTTAGGGACCATGTACGTGGTCAGAGGGCTTACTATATGCACCTGCTTACCGTCATGCCAAGGCAAAATGCCAGCATGATGAAGAAATATATATGCATATAATGTGCCATTATTTCGGGTTTTCTTTGGTACAGAGACATTCACTGTCCTAAAATACAAAATAAATACATTATGAGATGACATAGCACATGTTGAAACATTTAGCTATCACATATAAGGATCACTGAAGACGTTCTGGAAGCAAGTAGAAAAAGGTTGGGGACATAAAAAAAAAAGAGGAGACGTTTGGGTTGCCTGGCACACAACAATGAGTTCTGGCTAATATGCCCTAAAGAGCTGTGGCCGGATGGGATCAATTTATATACTCCAGTATGTATCCCGATATTTGCATTTCCAGTGTTTTACTATCATCTTAAGATACTTTAATCTTTGTCCAATTCATACTTTATTACCCTAGATAGCACACAACTGCATCATCAGTTCTTTTGTTGTTTTCCCCTGCCGATAGGTCACAGGGCCAAAATTATCACAGAACTTGCAGAAAATAGCCGGCCAAAATTATCACAGAACTTGCAGAAAATAGCCTTCTGTGTGCTGAATATGTATCACAGACCGTATACATGACACAAAGTTTAAAAAGAAAATCAAAGTTTTGCCAAGCACTTTGCATTAATAAAATATCTTCTCAGCTATGGCATGCCAAGCACAGAACTCTAGATAGGAGCCCCAAACCATGAAGTCACTCCCCTTGTGTTAGCCAAGAAACCATCCTACTTGCAACCTTGCATAATGCCTCCTCTATTCCTGTAAATTTGCTCAGGTTATTTTGCTCTGAATACTTTCAATGGCTTAGCAGACTCCATCAGTAAAACAATTCTTACGTTTTCAAGCCTGTCAGAGATGAAGTTTAATATGACCTAAACTGCAGACCAACGTGTTCTTTAATTATAGAAAATGCAGAGCGTGAAAGAACCTGGGAGACTCTGTGACAAGAAAGTCAAGAATAAGGCGACTACTTTAAACAAAAAAAAAAGTGAGGCAGCAAATATGAAGCACAAAACAAGTAGTTCTAATCATTTTAATTGTATAGAGGTATACATAGAGTGCAGTGTTATACTCAGAAATTTGTCTAAGGGCACAATCTTATGCCATCTTAGCACCAACATCCCTTCAGAAGATCTTGAAACCCTAAACTACCAGAGAAAGAAGGTTTACTTTTACGATTATTAGCACTGAAACAGTTATAGAAAAGCATGTTGGTAAAACACAGTAAAAGAGAACACGGTTTGACTTCCAAGTTCTACTCCAGGTCTGAAGCCACGGCTATTAAGAACAAAACATCATGTAGCTAGTAGACTGCCTACACGCTATCTGAGGAAAGTCTCAAGCATTTCCAGGCACTTCGACTTAGATTTTCACAACAGAAAGTCATGTTTGCTATTATAAGCAAAGCACACTTTCGTAAAACGTTTGTCTGTACAGCTGAAAACAGTGTGCTGATCCAAACTAACCAACGCTTAAGTTTCGCATCTTTCCTGCCTTAACATGGCAAATATGGTTATTACTGTACGAAAACAAGGGTGAACTGAATAGCCTGTACAGCATGCAAAAATACCTTTAACCCCAAAACAAAGAATGCAAGAACAACAACACTACTCTTTCAATACAACTATCATGAACGGTCTACCTTGCTTCATGCATGCTTCCATACACGTAACTACTAGTTAGGATACATACTTCAGAATTAAACAAAGAACTCGTAGTTCGGATACCTACCTTTCAAATTTGGACTCAATATCAAAATCCTCCACATTCAAAACCAGATCTATATTACTCTCAGCACCAATATTTGACCGTGTGGTAGTATACACACTTAGCTGAAATCAAAACACAGCACAGAGAAATCAGAGTACAGAAATATTAAATTCATGCACCAGTACACTTAGAGTTCAAATCTGTTTGTCAGCTTCACTAATTTCCCCGGTCACATGACTGTTATACACGCTGGGAGAGAAAACAATATACTCAAAAAAAGCCTAACGTAGGTTTCAGCTGCCCCTTCCCTCCTTTTGGGGCAGAAACACCTTGTAACATTGCCACTAAATACATTTTAATAGGATGACCTGTTCTTGCAGCTGAAGTCCAAGCTGTCTAAGCAAGCCGGGCCTTTTCTCCAGTCAGGCTGCTCTACTCAGTGCAGGCGCCAGCAGATACACGCAATCAAAAAATAAAACACGCTTCCATCCCGCCCGTGCTTCAGCCGCGGGCATCACCCACAAGGCAGGGGCCGCCTGCACAGAGCACTAGCAGCGCCCTCCCCGCTTTCTGCTCCCCCCCCCCCCCCCCCCCCCCCCCCCCCCCCCCCCCCCCCCCCCCCC